AGGTTCTGCCAGTGCAGGGATGAGCTCTCACCCTGAATATCCTTGTTCCTGTGGGGGAACATTAACTAGCCCAGCCAAGCAGGTCCGGATTTTCTCTTAATCAGGTCATGCTGGATGTTCTGAATCCCTCCTGTCTGCATGGGGGACCCTCCAGTGTGGTCAGAGGTTAAGGCCAGGTTGCCTGATCTCAGGGACCTTCCTTAGGTCAAGAACCCTTGGGTTTTCCGCCAGAAGGAAAGGATAGCCATCAGGGCTGAACTCTGATAAACAAAAAACCAGCAAACCCTTACAACAACTTCATCCCCTGGATCCTAAACAGTGCTGCTGTATAAATATAACACTGTTTCTTCGCAGATTATTCCCCATCAGCCCCATTAATTGAAGGCAGTTTTCTTTAAAAAAGCAAACAACTTCTAACAGTGAAACTCTGCAAGACCACATTCCTGTTCCAACTCCCAGAGTTCCAATCAGATGTCCGTTCTGTTTGTTAGAATAATGTGGTTTGTAAATATTGTAAAGTTTTTTACAGTAAAAAGTCACTGTGACGAACAAGAGGAGGATGACTTGTGCAACCACTGAAGAGACTTTTCCAATTCTGTCAGCACAGCAAGGGGTGGGAATTGGATTAGGGACCTGTGAGTCGAGTGACCAAGTCTGCAGTCACTGCAGAAAAAGTCAGCTCAGTGCTCAGTACCAGTCAGTGCCTGGGACTCCTTGAAACTGAGCTGGCATAAAAACTGGCAGATGGTTAAAACAGCAGATAGATAAAGGGTGAAAGCAAAGCTGCACTTAACCCAGATAATCTGATATGTACAAATGCAGAGCCTGAACATACCAAACCCAGAGTGGCAGCTGGGATGAGCCACCATTGTGGAGTCAAGGAGAAGATTCAGCACTTTCTCTGTTATCAAAGAGCCCATAGGTCTGCACTGCTAAAGAAGCGACTCAGGAATGAGTTCCTGTTCTCCAGATTACCTTGTCTCTGCTTGTGGTGCCTGTGGGTAATGTGTCTGTTCCTTGCATTCTGTCAGCAATTTCAGTGGGTCACCTGCTCCGTAGTGGATGGAGCCAGGGGCTGAGTGTGGTAATCACAGACTCATGGAATGTTTTGGGTGGGAAGGGACCTCAAAGCCCATCCAATCCCACCCCTGTCATGGGCAGGGACACCTTCCACTATCCCAGGCTGCTCCGAGCCCTGTCCAACCTGGCCTTGGACACTACCAGGGATGGGGCAGCCACAGCTGCTCTGGGCAACCTGTGCCAGGGCCTTACCACCCTCACAGGGTATCCCATCTAAACCTATCAGAATCCAAGCTCCCATCAGGTCAGATTTCCATTATTTCAGTTTTAAAATAATGGAATCACAGAATCATTTCAGTCACAACAGACCTGTAAGACCATCATGACCAGCCACCAGCCCAGCACCACCACTACGTTCACCACTAAACCATGTGCTTGAGTGCCATATCCCCATGTGTTTTGAATTCTCTGGCACTTGAGGATGCAAATTTTGCAGTCCCCCTCCTGATAAGTGCTGAGACCCCTTGCAGTGCTCCTGTTCAAGCTGTTGCCAAAACTGAGGGCTAGAACAGTACCCCAGCATGTGACGGGTCCAACACGCATGCTGTGTTGGTTCCTGGGGAGAACTGTGCCCACCCACTCACGGTGTTCCCCCTGCTGCTGCCCACCCACTCAGGGTGCTCACTGCCCTGCTCTGCTGGCTTCGAGAGCTGCAGTCCCAGCAGAAGCAGCTACCACAATCTGAAATTAGGTCTCACACTCATTGCACATGCTTTGTTTTACCCCGTGTCATTAATCTAGACATCATCAATCTGGGACACGAGTGTCCTTTGTTTGCAGGCCATTGGCAGAGGGAGCCTAGTAAGACACTGGTAACAAACAGTAATTACCCAGTTTACTGCACTGATCCAGTGTAACAATGCAAACACATTGTAATTCATGAAAACCAAACAAACACCACTTACACACGTACATTGCATTTACAGTGAAGATTCTCTAAAATAACCAATATAATTTTGGAAATAAAACAAGAAAATAAACACAAACAACTTTCAGAATAGAAAATCAGCAAAACTTTATTACTAATACCCAAGTGGAAGGATGCAGGCCTTTTTATTGCACTAGGAATACCTTTAAAATTAGCAATTCCAAGTGATATTGAGTCCGGAGCCCAGAAGAAATTGGCTCAGGACAAAGCAAACCTACTCTAATAAAAGGTTGGTGATGTATTTGTGTATACAGCAGTAGTGAAACTGAAAGTAAAAGCATCCTGTTTGATATTCAGATTTGAAAGTTAGTTTTGAAAAGCTGGAACAGAAAAGGTCTGCAAATACCATTTAAGTGATGGGGAAAAGAGAAAATGAGAGATTTTAAGTGTTTTCTATTTAACAGTAAGAAGACTAAAGGTGATAACTGTATTTATGTTACTGAGAAATATTGAGAAATACTTTAGTCCAATACAGTTATGAGACTTAATGAAGTAGATTAAACTGGTGTGAGATAAAGTCTGAAATGGGAGTGTAGGGAGTAGTTCTGACCACATACTCTGTGAAGGCAAATGTATTTTCACTGGGATTTCCCTCCTGTAATAACGTCTCGGAATAATTCACACAGGTCCTTGCTGGCTGATAGAATCTAAAAGCCAAAGTTCACAAAGATTTTAAGTTTCTTTAGAGTTCATTCCAGACTCTTATTACAAGTCATCATTCTTTAAGGATAAAAGGGTTGTAAAGCCACACACTGAAACCTTGTAGAAAACCAATTAAACCTGACTTTCTGAAGGATTTCACCAACTTGTATTTCAGTATCATACAGGGAAAAGATACAAACTCATGTTGAAACTGGCTTTCCTTACAGGCAGGATTGGTTCAGCTCATTCTGAATCACAGCTTCAGACCAGGGGCACTGCTTATCCAATCTAAATGTATATCTGAGAGATCAGATAGATGGTGTAGCTCTCTTGTATCCAGTGGGGTTCAGCTACAGTTCATCTTCCTGGTCTGGAAGGTCTGAATTGCCCTATGTACATAGTGACACCATTACAAGATCTATGGGATGAGCATGGGATGGCTGGTGCTGATGCAGCCACCTCTGTAGTAGTCACCAGTGTTCAGCCTGACAGATCCTGCCTCAAATGGCCATATCATAGTCATGACACTACCAGAAATGTCATTGTTTTTGGGGCCTCAAAACAGATCCTTTGCCATTTCCTGATGACAGAAAAGGTATTATAATATCAAAGATGTAAACAAAGACACTACATTCCATTAGAGAGCAGGAGTGTTCTGTCCATGGGAAGAGAAGCCAAGCAGATGATGAATTGTTACCTTGATGCCAGTGCCTGAAGGGGCTGGTCGAAGAGATCTGGACTTTGGATAAGGGCCAGGACAGAGGGGAATAGCTTCCCACTGCCAGAGGTGAGTTTAGTTGGGATGTTGGGAAGAAATCCTTCCCCGTCAGGGTGGTGTGGCCCTGGCACAGGCTGCCCAGAGAAGCTGCAGCTGCCACATCCCTGGCAGTGTTCAAGGCCAGGTTGGACAGGGCTTGGAGCAACCTGGACTAGTGGAAGGTGTCCACGGCAGGGAGGTGAAACTGGATGAGGTGTAAGGTCCCATCCAACCCAAACTGTTCCATGATTCAATGGTCACCAAGTCCAACTGCTCCCCCAGCATTCCCAAGACCACCACTAGCCCATGTCCCCAACTGCCACGTTCACACCACTGATAAATCTCCTTAGGGATGGGGACTCCACCATTGCCCTGGGCAGCTGTGCCAGGGCTGGACAGCCCTTTGCAGGAGGAATCTTCCAAATATCCCACCTAAACCTCTTCTGGTGCAAGTGGAGGGCATGACCTCTCGTCCTGTCATTTATTTTCTGGAAGCAGAGCCTGACCCCCACCTGGCTCTACCCTCCTGTTATGGAGTCGTGGAGAGCGAGAAGGTCCCTTCTGAACCCCCTTTTCTCCAGGCTGAGCCCCCCCCCAGCTCCTTCAGCCGCTCCTGGTGCTCCAGACTGTTCCCCAGGTCTGTTCCCTTCTCTGGACGCGTTCCAGGCCCTCAATGTCCTTTTCGTGAGCAGGCCGAAACCTGCCCTCAGACTGGAGATAGCTCAGCAGTGCCCGGCACACGGTGCTCGTCGCTCCCTCACGCTGGGACCCCTCAGCCCCGCGCCCTTCCCTTCCCGCCTCCCCGCCGTGGCGCCTCCCCCACCCCCGCTTGAGTCAGCGCCGGCCCGGCCCTCACGGCGGCGGCGGCTGCCGGGCGGGACGAGCTGGGACATGAAAGGTGGAACAGGCACTGCCACGCCCGGGGCTGCGGGGAATCTCGCTTAACCCTTCCCTGCCCGCGGAGCCCCGGGTGAGCGGAGACGGTGACGGGGGTGGACAGGAGGCCACGGCTATGGGCCTCAGACCCCCTTTCCCAGCACCCCCAGGGACACGGCGGACACAGTCCCACACGGCGGACACAGCGGAGAGGGCGCTGCCCCCGACCCCTCCTGGTGCCACGATGTCACTGCCTAGGAGCTGCTGCTCGTTTGTCCCCTACAGACCCAGAGCACGAGAAATGCCCTCGGAGCCCAAATCCCCCTTCTTGAGAGCCGCAAGGCTACGACCGAGCTGGGGCCAGCGGCCAGAGGCCCTGCCCGGCGCTGAGGGTGAAGGTCTGCGCCCAGGGCTGTGCTGAGGGTCCATGCCAAGGGCCGGGACAGCACAGGGGCTGCGGCCCTGCCCTGCCCCGCTCCCAGTCCCGAGCTGGTCTGACAGGCTCGGGGCAGACGGGAAGGGAGAGGCCTCCGGCGGCTCAGGAATGCGCAGCCCTTATCTCTGGCTCCCTGCGCGCCTGGGGAGGGAACAGCTCTCCGGAGTTTGCCTTTCTCTCGCTCTTACTCACCCCCGCTCTGCCCTGGGTGGAGCCTCGCTCGCCTGGCTTCCAGGTGAATCAGTTGCAGGCAGGCACGTCCAAGTGAGCCGAGAGTGACCCACCACCTGCCCCAGCTCACCTGGGAAAGTAGAGAAGGGTGGAGACCTCGTGGGTACCTGCATGGCCGCCTGAGCCAGAGTGACCCACTACCTACCCACCACCTGCCCGGCTTCCCTGGTAAGGTAGGAGAAGGGCAGATACCTCCTAGGGTATCTCTATGGCTGCATGAGGTGGAGGGCAAGGGCTGGGATGGGTTCTGTCCTGTTCCTCTGCACAGGGCTGAGCACCCGGCATCTGGGACAAGGAATTCCACAGGCAGTCCACGGGGAGGAGGTTGTTGCTTCTATGCAAGAAGGCTCCAGTGGCAGGAGCTCCCAGTCACGCCATGATGGCGAGAAGGGAGATAGGAGGAGACGAGAGAGGCAAGGGGAGCGAGAGAATGTCCCAGTGCAGGCAGCAGGGATTAGAGATGGTGAGGGAATGTCCCAGTTGTGTCAGGGATGGCGAGGGAAGGGACCCTTCTGTCCTCAGATCAAAACTGCTTATCAAACGCTTCACACAATTGCGGCCCTTCCCCTTTGAGAAATGCCTGAGGAGCAGATATTCTCAAACTCAGCCTCGTTCTTTGGGAAGAGTCTTGCAGCCTGATTGAGCTCTCCATAACACAGCCCAAGCTGGTCTCCTCTCCGCTGTAGGGGATGTATGGTCACGACATTGGGACAGAGGGGATGTATTGTGAGGGCCAAGGTCTGCAGTGGGCGAGGAGCTGGGAAGCAACTCCCGAGGCCCCTGCATTCCACACACATGGATTGGGTGTGCAGCTGAGTGCTGACACGGCCCAGGAGCCCTGACACAGTCATGCACGTACACGCAGGAGCATGGACCGATGTGTGTGGACAGGCGTGCACAGGCACACGGGCTAGCACTTGCTGAGTTTCCATAGGTGTGAGCCTGACAGACCTCAGGATTTGTGTATGAGGAGAGGAAGGGGATGGTTCTGTGCTGCTCACACTAAATTGGCCAAGGTCAGTAGGGGTCAATTAGGGATCTTGCTTGGCCTGAGGATTGGGTTCTCCATCTTATGCAACAGTTAGAAAGGGAAGAGGCACCTGTGAAGGAACACAAGTACTGATCACATCCTGCTGCTGAAAACATCTAATCTGTGGAAGCTGCAATAAGCTCAGCTGCAAGAGAGGCCAAAAATAGGTCAGTAGCAGCAAACTACCCCAAACCAGAGCAGGTACAGTGACAGCAGTGGTAAACACCAATTTCCAGGTCCCTATGCATATGTTCTCCCTGGATGAGGAGGCAAGAGGGCACAGTGTGTCCCAGCCCCAGACGGACACATGAGAGCTGCATTTTAGGGGAAGAAAGTTGTTTTCATTTTGGTCTCACTCCCATTTACCTGAGGGACTTTATAGTTGCATTTGAGGGATAAAAAGAGAGTTGGATTTGCTGTGGTCTGGCAATAGAAGTATTCTGAGGGGGAAAAAAAAAGTCTTGCTCTTCATATGATTTAGGGAAAATTGCATGCCAAAGGAAAAAGTTGTTGTTCCCCCATCCCTGGAAGGTTCAAGGTTGGGCTGGATGGGGCTGGGAGCAACCTGGTCTATTGGAAAGTGTCCCTGCCCATGACAAAGGAGTGGAACAAGATGGGTTTGAAGGTCCTTACCAACTCTAACCAGTGCCTGATTCTGGGATTCTATAAGTGTGGAAATGTCTGTATGCTTTTGTCAGAGCAGGGTCGTAGCTCAGGACAGATTCGCCCATGTTCTAGACATAATTTTTCTGGCAACCACAACTTTCCAGATAATGGAAATTCATCTCCAAAACGTGCAGGGTTGGAATTCTTTGCATTTTACGGTTACATGGGACACGTCTGGACTGCTTATCAGGCCCATATGCGAAATTTCTGTAGTTTTAATGAGGAAGAGGAGACTGATGAGTGCACTTCTAAAAACAGTGTGTGGGGGGAGTAAAAGTCAAGGGCAGCACATGGTTCTTCTCCAAATTTGACCTTACGCTGTTTGTCCTTTTTTTTTTAAGTTCTCTGTTTTAGACTTCCTTATACTTGCTACCTTTTGAATAAAAATCCAGGGAAGGGGATTGGCTGAAGAATAGTGACTTTGGCATGAGCATTGCTATCGTAGATGTGCTGCCTGGGGACATGGGTTAGTGGTGACCTTGGCAGTGCTGGGAGAGCAGTTGGACTTGAGGGTCTCAGGGAGCTTTTCCAACCCAAAGGGTTCCATGATTATTCAGATAATCTGCTAAGAGACACCTTTTGCACGCAGGATGACATTTAATTTCCAGCTGCTGTAAACATCAGGTTTTGCACTGGTGACTCCCCACAGCTCAGATTTCCCTGTCCATTCTGTACCCTTGCTGCATGGGACAGTTAAGGCTGACAGGTTCACATGCTGTCACTGTGGGACACGTTGACAGGTGTCTCAGTAACCACTTCACAAAGAAAATTACAACATGTAATTCTTCTGCCACTTTTCCCTTCCTCTGGCCTGCAGAAAGATCCCCTGGATATTCTGAATGTCTGGCCACTTTCCTGATTCTCTAGCAAAGAATGTTCTATGGGATCCCTTGCCCTAATAAACAGAGATGAGAGTCCAGTGGGTGTTGGAGGTGCAGACCAGGCTCCCAGTTCCACTCTGCCACATGCCTGTAGCATTCAGGGCATTCACTACTCACCTGAGACACAGAAAGAGTTCTTGGAGCCATTTATCAGGGTCAGCTGCCACAGGTATGAGTATGGAAGGTGCAGCTGTGATCTCTGCAAGCTCAGTGAAAAATTGATTAATTGAAGCAATTTCTCATCTGGTGGCCAAAACTTCTGAAGTGAAACTCCTAGCAGCTGGCAGGGGTACTGTTTTTTTTTTTTTTAAATGATGACTGTGATCCATGTATGACCATCCAGAGTGAAGAATGGGGTGACATTCTCTCAGATGATTAACATGGAGTGATCAGCTGTTCAGATGACCGTAGGGGAAGGTCTGGGAGCATTATATGGCGTTGTAACAGGAGTAACAAATCCCAAACAGAAGTTGTGACAGTAACCCAGGCTTTGAGCCTGCTGCCTGAAGAGGACATTGAGAAGAACATGGTAAGACTCAGCATGAAATACAGAGAGGAGAATTGAAAGAGAAAAAATAAGAATTAGGACTTGGCAGAGGCAGTTGTAGCTAAAAAAGTGTCTAGTCCAGGTTATTGTCCATAATTCACTGTCCTGTTCTGAGGAATGTGCCTGAGCCCTGTTTGGCGAGAAGAGCAGTTCATGGGAAGGTGTCCAGCATCCATTATCACGCAGCCACGGAATGGTTTGGGTTGAAAAGGACCTTTAAAACCATCTCCTCCAAACCCCTGGCGTGGACACCGTCCACTATCCCAGGTTGCTCCAAGCCCCATCCAGTGTGGCCTTGGACACTTCCAGGGATGAGGAAGCCACAGCTTCTCTGGGCAGCTTCCTCTTTGCCCCAGCTCTTGTACAATTCCATGGCCACGTGTTCTGGCCAAAGTAGGAAATTCTGGGCTGCACTTCAAAACTTCATATGCTGCACCCCTGTGAGACTGCCAAGATCCTTTTCAGGAGAAGTCCAACCCTTAGGATGGAAAATGAGTACATGTAGAAGCAGCTTCTGAAGAGGATGAGCATGTCTTGCCGTTCATACAGGTTCTTCCTCTGCAGCAAGATCAGAAGGCACTGGCTTGTCCTTCCATCACACACTGCAGGATTAAAAACCCCACACCTTAAACCATGTTTAAGGAGACAGGTCTCTACCCAGATCATTTACCAAGTACAACATTTTCTTGAGAGCAAGCTAACACTTTCCATGTCTCATTGTTACCATGTCTGCTCCAGTCATTTTCCCTCAGGCATTGCTGTCCTCTCCTAAACCCAACCCTCCCAGAACATCAGCAGTCTGTTTGCCCAGGATCTTTCCTATTTTTTTTTTGAGGCCAAGTATTTTCTTTTAAATAGTTGATTTGTAGACTTCGTGTATTGAGACGTTTTGGAAACGTTAAACTTTTTCACAGCCCACCCTAAGAGATGTCAGTGATACCACTGAATGTGGTGTACGGGCCAGGTGAGACCCATCACAGGGATTGAAAGTGCCTTGATTCATTTCTTGCCCATGGTTTGGAAGTCCTTCAAGTGTTGATAGCACAGAGGGGTTTGTGGCTGGCTGTGCACAGTGTGGGCTAAAGAATAGTCTGCCTCTGCTGCCTTTCTTTTCTTGGTGGTATCTAGGGCAGTGAAAAGATGAGGTGGTTAAGCCCAGGACCTTGTGTCTGTACTCGCATATAGGGGTCTGGGGAACAGATCGGGTCCTCCCAGCCCTTTCCAGGCTCTGGGATCAAGCCCTGCTTTGTCCCAGGTAGTTCCTTCCTGGGTGCTACCTGCCCTCGGCAGCCTCAGCTCCTGGGAGTGTCCCAAAGCAGCGGAGCAGGTCCAGCCAGGGAAGGGATCACCTGAGCGAGGCAGCCTGGGAACTGGCTGTGCAGGCAGAACACGTAAAAACAAGCACTGGAGTCAGCACCAGGGAGGCAAATGGAGCCAGCCCCAGGTGCTGAGGCATCAGCAGGGCTGGCACCAGGCACAGCACATGAGAAAGGGAGCACTGAGCTGGTTCCCTTTTGCTTAGACTGGGCAAGCATGGTCCAGTGCCCTTGATTCACACCAGGCACAAAGGCTCTGGAGAAAGGCAGGTCCTTTTATTTATTTATTTTAATCTGCAGGGCTTTGTGGTGATCACAGCATGTCTGAATCTGTGATTTCCTGCTGCTCTGTTCGTAAAAAAAACAGTAAAAGTCTGTTGAAATGGAACATAATATGGACAGGCACCAAACGCTGTCCGAGTCAACAGGTTTCTGCTTCTCCCAGTTTCTTGTCCTATAATGAATCCGGAGGGAAAGGGGCAGTTTTTACCTCTAGGTTCATCTGTCAGGCACCTTTCCTTACATTAAATATTCCATGTGATTGAGTGTTTTTTAGTGTGGAGGAATCTGCAGGCTGTGATCACATCCGACACTTCCCTTCATTAAGGGGGTCTGACAGCTTTTGGGAATCTCAAAACCAAATGCATGTGACAGGTATCACAACTAGTAAAGTCACTCCCATTTGTACTAGTGAGAACAGAGGCAGATCTCAGGCCAAGACGAAGGGA